CCGCCTCCCAGGTTACGCCATTCTCTGCCTCAGCCTCCAGTAGCTGGGACTACAGGGCCGCCACACGGCCTGGCTAGTTTTGGTATTTTTTTAGTGAGATGGGTTCACGTGTTTGCCAGATTGTCTCGATCGCTGACCTCGTGATCCGCACCGTCTCGGCCTCCCAAAGTGCTGGGATTACAGGCTTGAGCCACCACGCCCGGCCTCTTATTTTTTGTAATACAAACAGGCTGAGGATCATCCAAATCTTCAAGTTCTGGTGCTTTTTTGCTTAACAATTCCTTTTTCAATTCATCTCTCTCTTCTCACACCTTACTGTAAGCAATGAGGAGGAACCAAACCATTCCTTCAACACTTTGCTTAGAAATCTCCTCAGCTAAATATCCAGTTTTATCACCCACAAATTCTATCTTCCACAAAACACAGGAACATAATTCAGCCAAGTTCTTTGCCATTTTATTATGAGGATCATCATTCCTTCAGTTTCCAATAACATGTTCCTTATTTCTGCCTGTGACTTCAACAGGATTTCCCTTAATGTCCATATTTCTAATACTTACCTCAAAACTCTTGCAGCCTCTACCCACTGTCTAGTTCCAAAGGTGCCTCCATATGTTTAGGTATTTGTTACGCAACACCCCACTTCTTAGTACCAAAATCTGTATTAATGTGGGTTCCCCAAGTAAAAAGAACCATAAATCAATCAATCAATCAATAAATATGGTGTGTGTGTATATATCATATATGTGTATATACACATATATACATACATATACCTATATACATTTATCTATACATACATATACATATATACATTTATATATGCACACACATATACATTTATGTGTACACACACACACAGATATTTATTTATTTATTTTCAGACAAGATCTGGCTCTATTGTCCTGGAGTGCAGTGGTGCAATCTCAGCTTACTACAACCTCTGCCTTCCGGGCTCAAGCCATCCTTCCACCCTCAGCCTCCCGAGTAGCTGGAACTACAGGCACATACCACCATGACCTGCTAATTTTTGTATTTTTTGTAGAGAGAGGGTTTCACTGTGTAGCTCAGGATGCTCATGAACTCAAGCAATCTGCCCATGTCAGCCTCCCAAAGTGCTGGGATTACAGGCGTGAGCTATTATGCCCAGCAAGAGATTTATTATAAGGAATTTGCTCACATGAGTATAGAGGCTGAGAAGTCCCAAGAACTGCAGTTGGCAAGCTAGAGCCCCAGGATAGTTGATGGTGTAAGTTCTAGTTCATGACTAAGTCCAAAGACAGGAGAAGACTAATGTCCCAGGTCACAGACACTCAAATAGAAACAGTCAAGTTTATGGATGAGTTCCACCCACACTGGGGAGGGCCATCTGCTTTACTAAGTCTACTGGTTCAAATGCTAATCTCATCCAGAAACACTCTCACAGACATACTCAGAATAATGTTTTGTTTTGTTTTTTTGAGATGGATTCTCACTCTGTTGCCTAGGCTAGAGTGCAGTGGCATGATCTTGGCTCACCATAGCTTCTGCCTCCTGGGTTCAAGCGATTCTCTTGCCTCAGCTTCCCAAGTAGCTGGGACTGCAGGTGTGTATCACCATGCTTGGCTAATTTTTGTACTTTTTTTTTTTTTGCCCAGGCTGGAGTGCAGTGGCGTGATCTCGGCTTACTGCAAGCTCTGCCTCCCGGGTTCATGCCATTCTCCTGCCGAGTAGCTGGGACTACAGGCACATGCTGCCACACCCAGCTAGTTTTTTGGTGTGTGTTTTTAGTAAAGACGGGTTTTCACCGTGTTAGCCAGGATGGTCTCGATCTCCTGACCTCGTGATCCACCCGCCTCGGCCTCCCAAAGTGCTGGGATTACAGGTGTGAGCCACTGCGCCTGGCCTAATTTTTGTATTTTTAGTAGAGACAGGGTTTCACTGTGTTGGCCAGGCTCATCTCAAACTCCTGACCTCCTGATCCACCTGTCTGGGCCTCCCAAAGTACTGGGATTACAGGCATGAGCCACTGCGCCAGGTCCCCAGAATAATGTTTAACTAAATATCTAGGCAACCCATGGCTTAGTCAACTCGGCACATAAAATTAACCACTACAGGCCTACAAGCTTTTTCCAGATTAACTGTGCAGTGGGGGAAAAAAATAATTTTCTCTGAGATTATCGGACACAATAATGAGCTCTACCTCTCTTTTCTGGGGATCCAGAACGCCTCTTTGATCCACTGGTAGGAATTGAGTTTATGGTGATCAGGTGATAAATGGTGTTTTAGCTTGATTCTGAGGCACTATAGTCTTTCCCCATCCCAATGACATCAGGCCTGGAGATAGGCCAGATATCAGAGACCAGAAAGGCCAATCGTGACATATTGTATTACTGCCCTGTGGAAAAACCACACATCCATCCTCCATAGAGGGCAGACTTACTTTGGTCAATGCAATGTGAGCATTAGTGACATGTCACTTCTGAGCAGAAGGTTTAAGGCAGTGTGTGGTTTGCCATCTCTCTTTTTCCTCTGGCAACATCCAGATTGGGCCTACTGTCAGCCTGGGTACCCAAACAAAGATGGCCTGAAGCAGAACTGAAGTTACTCTAAGATGGACATACAATATGAGAAAAAAAATTTTTCATTGTAAGCCTCTGACATTTGGGTCATTTGTTACTTCACTATAACAGCCTAAGCTGACTGATACATGCTCAAAAATATTCTGGAGTTATTCCCCCATTCCTGAATAGCCATATTTAGCCATTGTGAGAATTACCATAATACCCCCTTAGTTCATGCAATGAAGGCATCCAAGTGGAAACCCCTGGAGCTAACTATGCCAAAATTGTAAATCAAAATCAATACTGCATTGCTGGGAGAATCACAAAGATGCATGGTGGTGATTTGCATCGCAACCCATTCTATTCATCTGTTCGATCATTAATTGTCAATATAGGCTAGGCGCAGTGGCTCAAGCCTGTAATCCCAGCACTTTGGGAGGCCAAGGCAAGAGGATCACCTCAGGACAGGAATTCGAGACCAGCCTGGCCAACATGGTGAAGCCCTGTCTCTACCAAAAATATAAAAATTAGCTGGACATGATGGCGCATGCCTGTAGTCCCAGCAACTCAAGAGGCTGAGGCAGGATAATCACTTGAACACGGGAGATGGAGGCTGCAGTGAAATGAGATCATGCCATTGCACTCCAGCCTGGAAAACAAGAGTGAAACTCCATATCAACATAAATAAATAAATAATTGTCAGTATATGTATGTCTCATTTCCCTAACTGTATTATTTTGTTCATTATTCCATATATATTTTGGAGTACCAATTACACATCAGGTGCTGTGGTAGGTCCTGAGGGGCACAGAAAGAATAAAACCATATTATCCCACCCTTGAGTAACTCAACCTAGGTAGTGCTTGACTGGATGTGTATTGTATACTGAGCTGGATGTATATTGTTTATATAGTGAGTAGTGTTTAAATAAAATTAGAATTACTTGGCAACATTTAAAAATCAGGAGACTTCTCATGAAAAGCTAGATTAATCATTTCTTTTGAAATATGGAAAGATCTGGCAGTTCTGGGTCCTCTCTGTCCCACGGCTATTGCCAGCTGGAGGGGAGCATCTGTCATCCCTTTTGGCAGGGCCTGAGTTTGCCCAGTTCCCTGCAGGCCCCACCACCCCCTCCACCACAGAGAGAGAAGGCACAGCTTGGCACAGGACCAGTTCCTGCCCTTCCAAACCACATGGGTGGCTTTGCCTTTACATGGTTGCTGCAAACAAAACAAACAGTCCTAACTGCCAGTCATTTAAAAAGGAATAGTATTCCTCGCTGGATTATTAGGGGGGCATGGTGGCAGGCACCTGCAATGCCAGCTACTCAGGAGGCTGAGGCATAAGAATCACTTGAACCCAGGAGGCAGAGATTGCAGTGAGCCGAGATCGCACCACTGCACTCCAGCCTGGGCAACAGAGTGAGACCCTGTCTCGGAAAAAAAAAAAAAAAAAAGGATAATATTCCTCTTTCCAAAATGAACTTTCTATGGCAGGAATGCACTAACAGAGGTGGATGCTCTGAGGCTCTGAGGCTTCAGCCTGCTGGTCTCCCCTCAGCCCATCATCTTGCCAGGTATTAGGTAGTTCATATTAAAACAGATGTAGCTTTTAGGCCAAGTGTGGTGGCTCACACCTGTAATCCCAACATTTTAGGAGGCTGAGCCCAGGAGTTTGATAGCAGCCTGGGCAACATAGTGAGACCCCTGTCTCTACAGAAAACAGAAAAAAATAGCCAGCCAGCCTGGGCGACACGGTGAGACACATCTCTACAAAAAAAAAAAAAACAACATAAAAATTAGCTGGGCACGGTGGTACATGCCTGTAATCCCTGCTACTTGGGAGGCTGAGGCAGGAGGATTGATTGAGCCCAGGTGGTGAAGGCTGCAGTGAGCCATGATTGTGCAACTACACTCCAGCCTAGGTGACAGAGCAAGATTCTATCTCAAAAAAAAACCAAACAAACAAACAAACAAAAAATCCAAATAAACAAACAGATGTAATTTTTAAAATAATAGACTTAATTAGCCGGGTGTAGTGGCAAGTGCCTGTAGTCCCAGCTACTCGGGAGGCTGAGGCAGGAGAATCACTTGAACCCGGGAGGCAGAGGTTTCAGTGAGCCGAGATTGTGCCACTGCACTCCAGCCTGGCTGACGGAGCTAGACTCTGTCTCAAAATAAACAAACAAATAAATAAAATAATCGACTTTATTTTTAGAACAGTTTTAGATTTACAGAAAAATTGGCCAGGCATGGTGACTCACGCCTGTAATCCCAGCACTTTGGGGGACCGAGGTGGGCAGATCACTAGAGGTCAGTAGTTTGAGACCAGCCTGGCCAACATGGTGAAACCTCGTTTTTACTAAAAATACAAAAATTAGCCGGGCTTGGTGGTGGGCGCCTATAATCCCAGATACTCGGGAGACGGATGTTGCAGTGAGCTGGGAGCCGAGATCATGCCATTGCACTCCAGCCTGGGGGCAGAGTGAGACTCCATCTAAAATAAAAAAAAGATTTACAGAAAAATTGACATATACAGAAAATTTCCATATACCTTGCATTCAGTTTCCCCTATTATTAATATCTTACATTAGTATGGTATACTTGTTAAAATTAATGAACAAATATTGATATAATATCACTAACTAAAGTCCATACTTTACTAAACTTTTCTTAATTTTTACCTAATAGCCTTCTCATGTTGCAGGAGCCCATCTAGGATACCATATTACATCTACTTGTCATGTCCCCTTACGCTGGTCTTAGCTGGGACAGTATGCCTGACTTTCCTTATTTTAATGACTGTGACAATGTTTTTTTTGAGACGGGGTCTGGCTCTGTCACCCAGACTGGCATACAGGGGCCTGATCTTGGCCCACTGCAACCTCCGCCTCCAGGGCTCAAGCCATCCTCCTACCTCACCTTCCTAAGTAGCTGGGACTACATGTGTGCACCGCTAAACTCGGCTAATTTTTTTGTATTTTTTGTAGAGGTGGGGTTTCACCATGTTCCCCAGGCTTGTCTTGAACTTCTAAGCTCAAACTATCCACCTGCCTCAGCCTCCCACAGTGCTGGAATTACAGGTATGACCCACTGCACCTGGCTGACCATGGCAATTTTAAGGGGTACTTTAAGTTCAGTGTTTGTTGTTGTTGTTGTTGTTGTTGTGTTGTGTTTTTTCTTTTTTGAGACAGAGTCTTGCTCTGTCACCCAGGCTGGAGTGCAGTGGCGCGATCTCAGCTCACTACAACCTCCGCCTCCCAGGTTCAAGCGATTCTCCTGTCTCAGCCTTCTCAGTAGCGGGATTACAGGGGTCCACCACCATGCACAGCTAATTTTTTTGTATTTTTAGTAGAGACAGGGTTTCACCAGTTGGCCAGGCTGGTTTCGAACTCCTGACCTCAAGTGATCTTCCCACCTTGGTCTCCCAAAGTGCTAGGATTACAGGCATGAGCAACTGTGCCCAGCCAAGTTCAGGGTTTCGTAGGATATCCCTCTAATACAATTTATTTGGTGTTTTTCTCATGGTTGAACTAGGGGTGTGGAGTTTTAGGAGTGGAACCACAAGGTAAAGTCCCATTTTCTTTTTTCGTTTTTTTTTTGACGGAGTCTTGCTTTGTCTCCCAGGCTGGAGTGCAGTGGCGTGATCTCGGCTCACTGCAACTTCAGCCTCCCAGGTTCAAGCAATTCTCCTGCCTCAACCTCCTGAGTCGCTGGGACTACAGGCGTGCGCCACCACACTTGGCTAACTTTTGTGTTTTTAGTAGACATGGGGTTTCACCATATTGGCCAGGCTGGTCTCGAACTCCTGACCTCGTGATCCACCAGCCTCACTCTCCCAAAGAGCTGGGATTACAGGCGTTAGCCACCACACCCAACCAAAGTCCCAAAGTCCCATTTTCATCACATCATATCGATGGTACATCCTCCCCCCTCTTTTTTTTTTTTTTTTGAGACAGAGTCTCTCTCTATTGCCCAGGCTGCAGTGCAGTGATGCGATCTCGATGTCAACTCACTGCAACCTCCACCTCCAAGGCTCAAGCGATTCTCCTGCCTCAGCCTCCATAGTAGCTGGTACTACAGGTGCCCACCGCCAATCCCAGATAATTTTTGTATTTTAGGGTGTACGCTCTCAAAATGACCTATCAACATGACATATCAATGACTTGATCACTTAGCTGAGGTAGTATTTGTCAGGTTTCTGCATGTAGTCTTTTTTCTCTTTTTCTATACGTACTCTTTGGAAGGAAGTCACTAAGTACAATCTACACTGAAGGAGTAATGTTCCCCTCCTTGAGGGCAGAGTAGCCATATTAATTATTTGGTATTCTTCTGCATGGGAAATTTATCTGTAATTCTCCTTTTATCTATTCAATCATGTATTGATATTGGTACAGACTCACGGATATTTATTTTATACTTTGGGTCATGATCCAATATTTTATTGATTTTATTTCTTAAATTGTTCCTGCTTTGGCCACTGGGAGCTCTTTTCTATTTGTCTTTGTTGTTGTTGTTGCTTTTGAGACCAGGTCTCATTCTGTTGCCAAGGCTGGAGTGCAGGGGTACAATCTTGGTTCATTGCAGCCTCAACCTCCTGGACTGAAGTGATCCTTCTACTTCAGCCTCCTGAGTAACAGTGACTACAGACAGGCACCATAGACATGTGCCACCATGCCTGGCTAATTTTTACAGTTTTTGCAGAAATGAGGTTTCACCATATTGGCCAGGTTGGTCTTGAACTCCTGAGCTAAAGCAATCCACCCACCTCAGCCTCCCAAGGGTGCTGGGATTACAGGTGTGTGCTATTGCACCTGGCTCACTTGTTTTTTTGACATAGCCTCAGAATTGGATTTTTAGGTTTTTGTTTTTTAGGACTTCCTTACTTTCTGACACTACGAGGTCCTCCAGCATTATCATATATATTTCCTAACTCCGATCCTAGAATCAGCCATTTCTCCTGGGGGCCCTAGTTCCTTTTATTAGAGAATGGTATTAGAACAAAGATCTGAGAACTAGATAGGTATAATTTTTATTTTTTATATTTTGCTACACTAAAGAACAAAAATGATCATTAAAAAAATTTTTTTTTTTTTGAGATGGAGTCTCGCACTGTCGCCCAGGCTGGAGTGTAGTGGCGCGATCTCGGCTCTCAAGCAATTCTTCTGCCTCAGCCTCCCAAGTAGCTGAGATTACAGGCACCCACCACCACGCTCGGCTAATTTTTTTGTATTTTTTTAGTAGAGGTGGGGCTTCACTATATTCATCAGGCTGATCTTGAACTCCTGACCTTGTGATCCACCCACCTCGGCCTCTCAAAGTGTTGGGATTACAGGCGTGAGCCACCTCGCCCAGCCTATTTTTTTTTTTTTTTTAATTTAAAAACTGTTGAAGGCCGGGCCCGGTGGCTCATGCATGTAATCCCAGCACCTTGGGAGGTTGAGGCAGGTGGATCACTTGAGGCCAGGAGTTTGAGACCAGCCTGGCCAACATGGTGAAACCCCGTCTTTACCAAAAATACAAAAAAATTAGCTGGGAGTGGTGGCACATGCTTGTAATCCCAGCTACTTGGGAGACTGAGGCAGGAGAAACACTTGAACCCAGAGGTGGGGGTTGCAGTGAGCCGAGATGGTGCTGCTGCACTCCAGCTTGGGTGACCGACTAAGACTCCATAACAAACAAACAAACAAACAAACAAACAAACAAACTGTTGAGGGCCAGGCATGGTGGCTCATGCCTGTAATCCCAGCACTCTGGGAGGCTGAGGTAGGAGGATCACGAGGTCAGGAGTTCGAGACCAGCCTGACCAACATGGTGAAACCCTGTCTCTACTAAAAATACAAAAATAAGCTGGGTGTGGTGGTAGGCACCTGTAATCCCACTTACTTGGGAGGCTGAGGCAGGAAAAACGCTTGAACTCAGGAGGCAGAGGTTGCAGTGAGCTGAGATAGTGCCATTGCAGTCCAACCTGAGCAAAAGAGCACAACTCCGTCTCAAAAAACAACAAACAACAACTGTTGCATCCCCAGGGCCAACCACCTCAGATTGACCTGTGTCCAACCTCAGAATACCTGTCCTGCCTTTCCTTTGGCAGTCAGGCTTAGATGCTGTTTGGTGGCCTTCCTTCAGGTGGGTACCAGCCTGGCTCAGGTGGGCACTGATGAAACACAAAGAAAGGAGAAGCTAATGTTGTGGGAGGGGCCGAAAGAAATTTTAAACCTTCAGAGTGGCTCAGAAAGAGCAGGAAGTGCCCTTGAAAAGCAGACACTATGGCTGCTGGCTGTTTTAGACTCCTCAGCCCCAGCTTGCTGCCTGGTACACGAAAGGCCTCCAACAGCATCTGCTGAGCGTCTCACTCCATTGCTGTGGAGCAGCCCACAGGATATAAGCAGAGCCCTCAATGTGGGAAGCCCCAAAGTAGTTCTCCAGCCTTACCACTCATTTCATGTGGAAGAATCCTGACAGGTTTCTGAGTCCTAGGATTTATTATACATGCCTTCTAATGTCTGGAGATTTCTTGGTGGCATCTCCAGTCAAAGGAACATTTGGTGGATTACCTTGGAAGTGAAGTCATCACAGGTGTCCTGGAGCACTGCCCACTCAGCAAGGTAATGCTATGAATTCTGAGAATCCACTGGCCTAACGGGGTAGAGGGAAGGATATAAAGTGAAGTCAAGGCCCTGCCCCAGGAGTGTGTGAGCCATGGGGACTGAGACAACCCCTAGGCAGTGGGTGCCACATCAGAAGTCTCACCAAGTTGCTAGTGAGGCTGGGAGGTAAGGACACCCAGCTGCCGCAGAGGAAGGGTGAAAGGAAATAATTTGGGTGGGGGTGGGTGTAGAGAAAGGGGGTACTCCCATAGCCAAGCTCACTGCTAGTAAGAAACAAGCTGGACAGCCCGAGCTGCCTGCTGGGGAACAGCAAGTGGGTCAGCAAGGGGCATAAGAAGGAAAGTGGGTATCGGGAAGGTGCGGAACAAGATTCCTAAACCTGGGCTTGGGCAAACTTCATGGGGGAGCCTGAAACAGGGTGCACACAAAACCAGAAGGACATGCACATTTTTCAGATGACAGAGACTTAACGAAACATGTCTTGGCCGGGTGTGGTGGCTCACACCTGTAATCCCAGCAGTCTGGAAGGCCAAGGTGGGTGGATCACGAAGTCAGGAGTTCAAGACCAGCTTGGCCAATATGGTGAAATCTCATCTCTACTAAAAATACAAAAATTAGCCAGGTGTGGTGGCACATACCTGTAATCCCAGCTACTCCGGAGACTGAGGCAGGAGAATTGCTTAAATCCAGGCAGGGGCGGAGGTTGTAGTGAGCCGAGATCGCATCACTGCACTCCAGCCTAGGCAACAGAGCAAGATTCCATCTCAGAAAAAAAAAATAATAAAATAAAATAAATATATCTGTTTCTCAAAGGTTGACATTGTTAGCACCAGGGAATGTAAGCACCAAAGTCTGTAAGTGGTGGCAAATCCTTGCCTCCTCAGGAGAAAGAATTCCACCAAGTGACATAAGACAGGGGGAGAGAAGCAAGTTTTAGAGCAGAAGTGAAAGTTTTATTAAAGTTTTAGAGCAGGAACAAAAGCAAAAGCACATGGCTGGGTGTGGTGGCTCGCACCTGTAATCCCAGTGAGAAGTGAAGCCAGCTGGACTTCCTGGGTACAGTGGGGACTTGGGGAACTTTCCTGTCTTACAGGAGGATTGTAAAATGCACCAATCAGTACTCTGTAAAACACACCAATCAGCAGGATTCTAAAGGTAGGCAATCTGCGGGGAGGATTGAAAAAAGGACATTCTGATAGGACAGAAATGGAACATAGAGTGTGGTGGGGCGGAGGGTGACAATAAGGGAATAAAACCTGGCCACGCCCCAGCCAGCAGTGGCAACCCATTCGGGTCTCCTTCCACACTGTGGCAGCTTTGTCCTTTTGCTCTTCACAAGAAACCTTGCTACTGCTCACTCTTTGGGTCCGTGCCATCTTCAGGAGCTGTAACACTCACCTGCAAAGGTCCCCAGCTGCATTCTTATAAAGTGAGTAAGACCACGAACCAACTCTGGACACACCAGCACTTTGAGAGGCCAAGGCAGGTGGATCATCTGAGGTCAGGAGTTCAAGACCAGCCTGGCCAATGTGGTGAAACCCCATGGCTACTAAAAATACAAAAATTAGGTGGTGGTGCATGCCTGTAATTCCAGCTATTTGGGAGGCTGAGGCAGGGGAATCACTTGAACCTGGGAGGTGGAAGTTGCAATGAGCAGAGGTCGCACCACTGCACTGCAGTTTGGGTGACAAAGACTCTCACAAAATAAATAAAATAAAATAAAATAAAATAAAATAAAAAGTTTTAGAGCAGGAACAAAATTAAAAGTACACTTGGAAGAGGGCCAACTGGGTGATTTGAGAGATTCAAGTGCACAGCTTGGCCTTTGACTTGGAATCTTATAAGCTGGCAAGCTTGGAGGGTGTGTGGGGTGGTTGCACACCTTCTCCCCTGATTCTTCCCTTGGGGTGGTCTGCCAGCACTTGGGAGGGGCCCCTGGCACAGTGTGTTTACTGAAGTGGTGTGCATGCTCACAAGGTATTTTTCTCTTACCAGTTGAGTGTTCCTAAGGGAGGAGACCACCCCTCATATTGTCCTATGCCCAATTTCTGCCTCCAAAGAGAGAAAAAGTAAAAACTAAAAGGCAGAAATGAAATCCACAAGCAGACAGCCCAGTGCCACACCCTGGGCCTGGAAGTTAAAGATTGACCCCTGACCTAATCGGTTATGTTATCTATAGATTACAGACATTGTATAGAAAAGCACTGTGAAAATCCCTATCCTGTTTTGTTCCGATCTAATTACCAGTGCATGCAGCCCCTAGTCACGTACCCCCTGCTTGCTCAATCAATCATGACTCTCTCACACACACCCTCTTAGAGTTGTGAGCCCTTAAAAGGGACAAGAATTGCTCACTCGGGGAGCTTGGCTCTGGAGACAGGAGGCTTGCCGATGCTCCTGGCCAAATAAACCCCTTCCTTCTTTAACTCATTGTCTGAGGAGTTTTGTCTGTGGCTCGTCCTGCTACATTTCTTGGTTCCCTGACCGGGAAGCAAGGTGATTGGCGAATGGTCGAGGCAGCTCCTTAGGCTTAAGCCTGCCCTCTGGAACATTCCTGCGGGGGACTCCTACCAGCCCTAGCGATGCGGATCCTGAGAGCGCTCTCAGGTAGGCATTTGCCCCAGTGGTACACCTCACCAGAGCAGTGTGTGGCAGGCCTCCGTGGAGGATCAACACAGTGGCTGAACACTGGAAAGGAACTGGTACTTGGAGTCTGGACATCTGAAACTTGGCAAGACTAGTCTTTGGAACTTGCCCACTCCGTTTGAGTGGAAGTGTGGCCTGATCACCCATGGTGTGCCTTTATTGGCACTTTGGTTTTGGTTTTGGTTTTGATTGGTTTGAATTGCTTGACAGGTCTGGTCTTGGGAACTTGCCTAATCCATTTGAGTGGAAGCGTGGCCTGATCACCCATGGTGTGACTGTATCGGCACTTTGGTTTTTGTTTTTGACTTGACTTGGATTTCTTGATACTTTGGTTTTGGTTTTGACCTGGCTTGGATTTCTGGATACTCTGGTTTTGGTTTTGATTTTGCTTTGGTGTAAACTACAAAAGCATGTGTGTGCCCTTTTTACCTATTCTTTGTTTTGTGGTGTGCATGTGGTGTGAGTGTGGTGTTTTGTCTCGAAGAAACATAGGTGAGGCACAAAGTAAGCCCACACCACTAGGAACTATGTTGAAAATTTTCAAAAACAAGGATTTAAGGGAGACTATGGAATACTATGACACCAGGAAAACTTAAAACTTTGTGTGAGATAGACTGGCCAGCATTAGAGGTAAGTTGGCCATTAGAAGGAAGCCTGGACAGGTCCCTTGTTTCAAAGGTATGGCACAAGGTAACCTGTAAGCCAGGGAACCCAGACCAGTTCCTGTACATAGACACTTGGTTACAGCTGGTTTTAGACCTCTCGCCTCCAACACACAGTGGTTGAGAGAATAGCAGCATAAGTGAAAAAGGCAAGAAAAGACCAGCAGAGAGAGAGAAAAAAAAGAGACAGAGAGGAAAAGAGGCAAAGAGAGAGAGGAAGAGACAGCGAGAAAGAGAGAGACAAAGAGGGAGTCAAGGAGAGAGAGAGAGAAAGAAAGAGAGAGGCAGACAGAGAGAGGAAGAGACAGAGGCAAAAGGAAAGTCAAAGAGAGGGAAAGTCAAAGAGAAAGAGAGAAAGAGATATACAAGTAGATAAGAAAAAAAAGCCATCTATACCAATTCTAAGTTAATTTGGACAAAACAAGGTCTTATTAATAGCAAAGGATAATTAAAATCCCAAACTTACAAGGTTTTCAAGAAAAGTA